CCCCAAAACCCCAAAACCCCAAAACCCCAAAACCCCTTTAAATTTATAAAATATTGATAAATGGATTCTCAAGGTTGGGGATTTGGTAAGAGTCCTAGGTATAAACGATATAGCACAACCCAATAAGGACAAAGAAGATGGAGATGACCAACAACAACCCTCTTGGTCTTCTTTTGGTGGCTTCCAGCAGCCTACTCAAGATAACAATGATGCACCACAAGTGCAGGAGAATACCTTCGGAGGATGGGCTTTTGGAAATGACCAGAAGACATCTCAGAATGACTCTGAACCAGCTAGCTCAGAACCTGCTGAAGATACAACAACTAATGGATGGTGGGGCGGTAATTCCTTCAGTCCTGAAAAATCTACTGGAGAGAAAGAACCTGAACAAGTGGTTCCTAGCTGGGGCAATTTTGGTCAAAATGCATTCGAACAAGCTCCTTCAGAGCCTGAGTCACAGGAAAATAATGGATTTGATCACCCTGACTCCTCTTCAAAGACCCCAGAGCTTAAGGAACCCGAAACAGCAGAGAAGGCTGAAGATAAGCAAAGCTTCGTAAATAATGAACAAAATAAGGAAACGCAAGACAACTCTCCCAAATCAGGTAACATCGAGAATACTTCTGAGAAAGCAGACAGCTCTTTTGAGGATTTCAAGGATCCAGATATTGATCCTCCTGCTCAGGAGAGCTCTGAGAGCAAGGCCAGTCAGCCAGAAGGAGAGATTAATAAAAAAGAAGACCCTCAACAGTACTTTTTGGTGCTAAAATTATAGGCATGACAACCAAGAAGAGGCTAAACAAGAATTTTTAAATAACGAAGAATCCTCTGAAGACGGTCAGATTAAGCAAAATGAGCCCTCCCAAGAGGAAAGTGATGGATTTGATGATTTTGAGGACCCACAAACACCTCCTCAAGAAATATCTAACAAGGAAGACACTTCATCTAAAGATGGCGAAGGAGATTTGAATAAAGAAGATACCCATGAGGCTCAAGTTGAAAAGCAAGACCTTCAAGAGAGTATTCAGGAAGACACTAAATCTCAGGAAGAAGTGAAGGAGCAAAAGCTTGAAATTGATGAGCAAGTTCTCGAGAGCACATCCCAAGTAGTGGAAGAAAATGATCATAAAGAAATTGAAATTGAGCAAATACAGAATACTGAAACTCCTGCTCACCAAGACTTGCCAGTAGAGGAACCAAAAGTTCCAAGTAACAATGAAGCTGACTCTGATCAAGATTCTACTAATATTAAAGCCCAGCTATCTTCAGAGTCATTGGAGGAGGAAACCTCGCCACAAGATCAGAACATGCAAAATCCTACAGATCATGATCATCCAGAACAGGAAAGTCTTGAACAAGTGGAGACCAGTGACAGCAAAGAAGAAGTTAAGCAAGGTGATGAACTAATTGAAAAAGCCCAAGAACCTGAAGAATCAGTAGAAGCCGGTAGCGATTCGAATCATGAACAGTCAGAAGGTGAAACCGAACATCAGGAAAAATTAGAGTCTGAACATAAAGCTACAATTGAACCTCAACATAAAGTTGAAACGGAACTTGAAGCTGAGCCTAAAGCTGAGCTTGAAGCTGAGCCTGAAGCTGAGCCTAAAGCTGAGCCTAAAGCTGAGCCTGACGCTGGGCCTAACGCTGAGCCTGAAGATGAGCCTGAAGATGAGCCTGAAGCTGAGCCTGACGCTGAGCCTGACGCTGAGCCTGACGCTGAGCCTGAAGCTGAGCCTGAAGCTGAACCTGAACCTGAACCTGAAGCTGAACCTGAAGCTGAGGGTGAAGCTGAGCCTGAAGCTGAAGCTGAACCTGAAGCTGAGGGTGAAGCTAATTCTCATGAAAAAGAAGTGGAACAAGAACTTCCAAAAGAGAGTATTCAAGCTGAAGAATCTCAATCTCAAGAAGAAGATAACGAGAATAATAAAGAGACAGAAAATGAACCTGCTACAGATGAGACTTCTGCAGAAGCTCAACAACAAGAGAAGATTAATAAATCTGAAGAGGAAAATGGCCAAGAACAAGTAAATCTAGATGACAAGCAAAAGGATCAACTCGAAGAAGTTGAGAACGAACAAATCTCGGAAGACAAATGTGAGGAACAAAAATCTGAAGCCAAAGAAGAGGCAGATTCAACCCTTGAGGGAGCAGAGGTTAAGGTCAAGGAAATGGCAATGGCTACATCTTGAGCAGTGGCTGAGCCTGAGCCAACCAAGGATATTAAGCCTAGTGAGGAAACCTCGAAAGAGAAAGAGACACAACCAAAGGAAGATAATGATTCAGATGATATTCAACAACCAGTAGAGCCTCAAAAGGATGAAGATGATGATGACTCTTTCGATGATTTTGCTGAGCCAGAGAAGGCTCCTTCGGATCAATCACCTGAAGAAGCTGCTCCTCAGAAGGATGAAGATGATGATAGTAGCTTCGATAAATTTGAAGAGCCTCAACAACCTCCAGAGAGTTCAGAAAGCGATAAGATCGAAATCAAGGAAGACGAAGACGAAGGAAGTTTCAATGATTTTGAAGACCCAGAGGAGAAAAACAGTAGTTTTGAAGACTTTGCCGAACCTGAAAAGAAGGTAGAACCTGAGCCTCAAGCCCAGGATCAAGACAGCTTTGAAGATTTTGCAGATCCTAAAGACAAAAATGATAGCTTCGATGATTTTGAAGACCCTGTAGAAGCTGACGAGCCAGCTAAGTCTGAAGAATTAGAAGATCCACAGATGAAGAAGACTAAAACTGAGGGGGACAATAAGCAAGATGATGATGATTTTGATGATTTCGCAGATCCCGAAGAGTCTAAACAAGATACATCCGAATCCAATACAGACAATGGTTCCACAGGGGTTGCTGGCCACCTAAAATCTACTTCTTCAAACTCGTCCATCCAGTCTTCACCAGTTAAGGCCTCGGCAAAAGGGATGTTCTCCTCATCTCTGAGTGATTTCAAGAAGGACCTTCAAATCTTTAAAGAAAAAGACGTCAGATTCGCTGCCTTTGATTACCGCTCAGAAAGTTACAAAACTTTGGCTGAAGAATGAGGCAAAGAGATTGAAGACTTTGAGGATAAGGGAGACATGGGGTCTTCCTACTCTAATCTCCACTCTATCAGGGACATCTTTGAAAACAAAGCTACAACTTCAATGATGATGAAAGACACGGGAGCTCAGTTCAAAAAGACTCAGAATTTTAGTGTAAATACGAGGTATGTCAACCTAAAAATTACGGGGAAGAGGTTACCAAAAGTCGAGGAGAGCGCACAGATTCTGGATTTGGACTTTGAATCAGCAGACACTGAAGCTGCAGATTTTGAAAAGGACATTATCAAAGTGCTAAACACACATATGAGGAGCTCTAAATGGGATGACTGATGGACAAGCGAGCACATCCATTCGTTCATCAAACTTGACCCCATCTCTCCAGGGAGGTCCAGGAAGCTCTTCACAGAAGAGCTTCATACAGACAGACCTAATGAAAGCATGGAAGAGTACAAGGACGAAATGAAGTTGATGAGGCCTAAGGACGTCCATGACAGCGAGGAAGACATTGAAGATGAGCCGCCAAAGAAGGAAGAATCCAAAGAGCCAGAGCCTAAAGCTTTCTATGATGGATGGGGAGATATTGATTTTACTAAGAACAACTCGCCAGCTCAGAAGATTAAGAAGAAGGAATCTTCAAATAACCATTCCTTGATTGATCAGACTTTTGAAAAATATGGAATTAAGCCTAATTATGAACAAAACTCAGATTTTAACAATGGCATGGAAATACACAAAGTTGAGGAATCAATTGCAGTCAAGTTATTGAAAAAGGTTCCTGATTATGCTTTCTTGATCGACAAGAACATCTGCTTCCCAGATGACTTCTTCGGATAAATTTATTAATGATTTAAATCAATATTTTGTACTGATATTGGGGTTTTGGGGTTTTGGGGTTTTGGGGTTTTGGGGTTTTGG